GATTACATCACAGAAATTGGCTACCTATTTTATATAACTTAGGGTTTTTTCTAAACTAAATTATGCTTAAGCATTTAAGAAGTAAAACTAAAGCTTTCATAAGATCCAGTAAAAAATCAAAATTTACCAACCAACAACACTTGAGGAAAAACTTTGAAAGGATGAATAAATAATACAACTTGGACTTCTTCCTAGCAATGAGTATGCCTGTTTAGGATTAGAAAATCGGGGCACTTGGGTGTCTCAGTCAGTTGCGCACCTGACTCTTGGGGTTGTCTCAGGTCATGATCTCAGTGGGGGAAGTATGCTTGAGGATTCTCCCCTGATCACACACACACACACACACACACACACACACACACACACACCCTCTCTCTCTCTCTCTATAATGAATCTTAAAATCAATTTTCTCTCTCGTATTTTTTTTTTAATCTGGAGGTTCTGTTCTTCAGTTTACCTGACAAATATGAATAATGTCTTTTGCAGGGATATTGCAGATTATATGAGATACTTTTTGTGAAGCCCTTAGTGTATGATATATAGTAAGGCAAAGAAAATGATAGTTCTCTTTTGTTTAGAGAGGAATATTTGAAATTGCCACACAGTAGTGAATAGTAAAGGAGGGTAAAAAAAATTCACCAGATATGGAAGTAAGTGATGTCTGCTATAGTTCTGGTTGGGCTAAACCTAAATCATGAGACCATCAGGATATTTAAAGTTTTGCCCTCTGTACCCTTGAGGTCCAGGTTTCTCAACAATGGGCACTTGGCATTTGGGACAAGATAATTCCTTGGTGTCAGATGCTGTCCTGTGCACTGTAGGATGCTTAGCAGCATTGCTGGCCTAGATGCTGGCACACCGCCTGCCAAGTCCCAAGAGTCAAAAATGTCTCCAGAAACTGCTGACTGTCCTCTTAGGGAGTAAAAGAATCCCTGTTGGAAACTACTGCTTTGATAAAGTACGTACTTTATTTTCAGCCCTAAAATTCTATGTGTTTTTTTCCAAAACATTAAATAGCATTTATATTTTAACTTTTGAGGGTCCCAGACTTCTTTAGGAATTTTGCTAAGGAATATATTCTCAAGTTTACATGCAATTTTATAAGGTTCTTAGAGTCTGTGGAGCCCATCCTCAGATTCCTGAGCTCCATGGATTCTTGGTTATGAAGTCCCTCTGTTAGCTCTTGGAGTTCATCTATTGATTTTATATTTGAATGGTATAACTACTTGTGCCAGATTTTTCCATTTTGGCATTAGACAAACTACATGTGTATTATCAGAGCAGGAAAAAAACCTAGATAAAATAAGTTTGAAGAAACAGTTATCAGGTAAAGAAAGTCTTATTTGGGGAAAAAAGATTCAATAGGAAAAAACACAACTATCAAATATTTAAATACTTATATATTACAAATATCTAAATCAAGTTATCTGCAAACTAGTCATGTTTAATAAAAGGATTTCAACAAAATGATGCCAGGAAAATTAATACCACAGCGATGCCTTTTCTTCCAAAGAAACCATTGCAATGCAATTAACTACAAGAGGTGAAATAAATTGGAGACAATCAATTGTAAAAGCCTCAAATAGTAGGTAAGGATCAAGAGAAATTATTAGTATGTCTTCACAAAATAAAACTAAGGCTACAGTGATCTTTCCTTTATTAAACAGGATGAGACTTCAGCCCTCAAGTTTGAAGTAAGAGTAACAGCTTTTCCAGAACCCAATCCAAAAGTTATTGAACTAAACAAGGATGAGAATGTTGCACATGTAAGATGACCATTTTACCTGAAATCTTAGGATTAGAGGGGAAAATTATTGCTGGATTGGTTAGTCAGGAAAGTGTATTCTGACTAGATAATGGAGGGTTCAAAATACGTTACCAGGATCTGGCATTTTCTACAACTGGTGGGAGGGAACAATGCAGATGGCTTTTTTTAGGAGGTGAACTTGGTAAGATTAACTAGATGAAGAAAACATGGAACAAGCCACTTCTGCTAAATGGTTACCACCAAGAAAAGGGGATAGGGTTGTTCAAAATATTAGGGAAATCATGGAGGTGGGCGGGGGGCGGGTGGTTCAAAGGGAATAGAAGTTTTTAAACTGGTGGCTCTTTATTTTGGTTACATTGTATAGGTTCTACTTGAAGGATTACATCATCAAAGACCCAAACGTCATTTCACAATAGCGATTATTTTGAGCAGCTTGCTACTTGGACTTATTTTACTTCTACTGATTTCATATGTTATGTGGAAGGTAAGCCTTTAATAATTACTCATGTTAAACCACTCAGAAATGCCATTCTTGATCTTCACAAAGCCTCCTTTGTGACTCCCACGTTATTAAATATTGCAGCACTTTTAATGAATTTTTAAGTTCCTATTTCTCCAGTATCTCCCAGTACCAGTATCCCAACCCTGACACTAGTTTGGAAAGGTGTTCTTTTATGATGTCAGTTTTGGAGAGTGTGTGTCACTGTCTAACAAAAATTATGCTCTTTAACAATATTTCCTATCCTAAATTTTATTGACTGCATGGGACAGTGACCTTTCAGGTTTCTGATGAGAGTATTGCATAATCACAAATATGTTACAATTTTCAGGCTGGATTCTTTAAAAGACAGTACAAATCTATCCTACAAGAAGAAAACAGAAGAGACAGCTGGAGTTATGTTAACAGCAAAAGCAATGATGATGATTAAAGACTTCTTTCAAATTGAGAGAATAGACTCAGGTTAACCAAAGAAACTTAAGACATTGTTTACAAGAAACCCTGTACTTCTTTTACTCATGACCTTGTGACATATGAGGTCTCAGTGCAAATGAAAAATCCAAGCAATTACTCTTCGGGAGGAAAATAATCTCTCGGCTCCTAAATGGGGGGAAAAACACTAAAGCATTCAACTTATTCAAGGTAAGTAATCCCTGGAAGATACCTTGAAATGAAAGTGCCTCTGAATTGAATCATATTGAGGAAGTAAACAACTCATTTGAAGAAGTCCTGGAAATATCATTCCTTTAAAAGAAATTATTTACCATGTATGCTTGCTTCAGTAAAATAAACTCCACTGAAGAGGGGATCATTCATTTCTAAAAGATCGTTGAGGCTTGTTGGAAAGATCCTGCTAAATATTTTTAAAGAAGAAAGAGCTGTTCCTCAATTTTCTAATGAATAAAAGAAGACCACTAATGTTTTAAAGTAGACTTATTTTAAAGACCTTTATCTGTAGTACCTTTATGAGGGGCTTTGATCAACCATGTATTCAGCAGTCGATGTAGGAGCATTATGGGCCTGATGAGCAAATTTCAGACTGAACTTATACACTGGTTTGAGCTTAATGACTTCTGGATAATTGTTTATACAGCTATGGACTTTTTCTTTCTGTATATATACACATAAGTTCTTAAAAGAATATGTTTATAGGTATGAATCCACTAGTCCTCCTAGCACACATTTTTAGCAAGGGTACCCAGGAGTAAATTTCTAAAATCCCTTTTTAATGACCTTCTCTTGGTTATAAAAACAGTACTTAAGAATTCTAACTTATATTCTGAAACAGATTATGAATGTTGCACTTTAGCTGTATTTCAAATTATTAATACACTGATATATAAAATATGAAAACTGTACCTCACAAAACTCTACGAAGACCGTGATTAGAGGCCAGTATTTCATATAAACTAGATATTGTGTAAAACAGTGACTGCCAAATTAAGCAAGTGCACCTACTTCTTTAGATTTTACTCTTTCTCTTCAAATGTATGTATTAAATGTGTTTTTACCAGATGTATAAGAGCATTCTCTTCCACATGGAACTAGAGAAACAAAATTGAGTAATTTAACTTATATTCAGTGAATATAAATGTGACATCAAAATTTCCATAACCTAGAGTTTAGGGATAACTTATTTAAAATCTGGAAACTTTTATAAAAACTTAATATTTCACTTATCTTTAATGCCTTTTCATTTGCAAATATAATCCTTTTTTTGTAATATTTATCCATGCATAGGAACTAGATGCTGCTAGCTGCAGAATATGATTTCATCTGAATTGTCCTGTATCTGTCTTTATTGTTGCAAGTGATCAAATAGTAAAAGGCTTACCTCTAATTTATCTATTATGGAAAATATTTGTTCATATGAAGCCCCTGCCAACAACTGTCTCTCGCTGACTGCCTAAATTCCTGTAAGTTATGTTCACAAGCCCAGAGTCTGTAATTGGCCCAAGAACAAGGAGGGCAGACCTTTGTAAAGGCACTTGAGGAGTGAAACCTCCTGAATGCAGTGTATCCCAGTAGAAATTAAACTTAAAAAGGTACGATATATGGGCAAAAGAGCTGTTTTTTCATTACATAAAAAGCAAAATAATTCATACACGTGAATTTCTGGAATCCTAAAAAAAATTAGCTCTTTTCAGAAATGATAGCATTTTGGGTATTACAATGTGCTAGGATTGCTGGATAACAGGAGTCTCAGAAGCAAAAAGAAAACTGCTCCTCACCCATTAGGTAGTTGGTGTAATTTAAAATTTGTTACAAACTTTAAGGAAAATCAACCATTTCTGACTATCAGGGATTAGTCACACAATTGGTACCCTAACAACTTAAAATGTTTATCTTTTTGGCAAACAAATGTGGGTACTGGAAGGATTTTGAAATCTGGATTAGGCATCATTAGGGCATCCTTATGTAGCCTCTGGAGTCCATCTGTCCTAGGCTATAGGAAATTTCACATACGTCCTGAATGGAGTCAAATCCTGAAAAGTGAAAGCATCCAAGTTATTTCACTTGGGAATTACTGATATGTCATCATGATGTTTTAAGTATATGAGCATTTACTTTCAGTTCCAATAAATATTTTCTGAAACCCAGGATTTGTTATATTTCATGTCTTGCTTTAAGCTCTAGCTTTTAAGCCCTAGAAACTATTTTTTAGCAAAATAACAGCCATTTTAACTTCTTTAAACATATTATTTTTTTAAAGTATGACTCTATTCCTTCACATTAAAATTCTAGTTTGTACTTTTTTTTTTTTATAAACAATTACATGTTCCTTGAGAATCATTCATTTCTTCCGTGCTTCCTCCATAAAGATTGATAAGCCTTGGGTGTAATCTGTAAAAAAAAAAAAAAAAAAAAAAAAAAAAAAAAATATATATATATATATATATATATAATTATTTCGTCAATCTAGCTTTCCTTTTCACACATATACCTATTGAGTATGACACATCACACTGAATGCAAACCTAATGGCAGCTAACAATCATGGATTCGTGGCACAGCTGCAATCTTGTAAGAGATTGGAGGGCCTAACAAATCAGCCCCAGTAATTACTGTACAATCCAGGCACTGTGCCTGTAGAAAACTCACATCGAATGGAATGCTCCTGCACACTTCTACCTCTTGGGTCATAATGCTTACCAACAAGGAGTTTGCATGGTCCTAAAGTTGTTTATGCCAGTTGTTCTGTTAAATAGTATGTAAATCGTTCCCTTGGAAAGTAAGTTGAATGCTTTGGGAAGAGCTGATAGAAGCACACTGCCGAACACAAAGCGGTAACGACTGGAGATCTAAATGTAACAATCTGCTACCCAGATGGCTTTCACAAGGTTAAGATCTTGATCTATTTTTTAAATTAACAAAACCTAAGCCCTAGAAATTATCTGTATAGTTCAGGGAGAATGGTAATTTGAAATACCAAGAGAGAATCAAATTTGGTCATGAGTCTGTGTGAAAATGCTTTTGGCTGTACATAACAAATTGGTAAATAAATGTAAAGTCACACGGTATTTATTAAAATTGTATATCTTTTTATGCTTCCCTGATTCATTAAAAAATAAATCTAGTCCTGACAAGGCAGCTTCCATTACACTTAAGTTTTGTGTCTACTGGTGGACATTTAAGATAGTGAAATAATTATACTTACTTAACCTGAACCTCTGATTTGGCTTCCATTAAGTCACCATCTACATTCCAAGGGAAACTGTTTTCTGAAGCAGCGGCATGCAGTCCATCCTCCTCTAGGCTGTATCCGCTATTATTTCTTGGACGAACTTTTACTTCTCCAACAGTGTAAGTCTCAACAAATGGAAAATTGAACTAAATAAAACAAATGCAAATAATCACGGTGCTTGCTTTATCCCTAACTGCCAATGCAAATTAAAGTTTACTGTGCTCTATCCCACACGTAAATAACAACATGCATGATGTTTTTTATAGCTTTGAAACTCTGTACCAGGGATTCCCAGTTTCTTTGGCAAGCTTGTCTTATGACCAGTGTTGTGTACTTATGAGGTTGTAAATTGTATCATACAATTTCAAATTAAAGATTTTTTTTAAGACCTGTCTGTACTATCTACTAACTAGCTTAGGTGATAGAAAGCAAACTAAATTTCATACTTAGAATTTAATTAGGAAGGATTAATTACAGGTATTTGCCAGCCTCATTCCCACTTTAAAGATGGACTCAGTTTGCAAGACTTTTGCTTATTGACCATTGTAAATGGTGCAGGGTATCTTCAAGTTTCAACCTTTGTCTAAAGAAACTTTAGTGGAAAAAAGTTTCTATTCTCATACATAAGACAGCCAAATATCTTTTTAGGAGCAATGTATATTAACCACTCATTAATTTCACTTTTTTAGGTAAACGGCATGAGGTTTATTCCTATTACCTACATGCATTCTTTTCCCTTCCACATATGAACCTCAGTGTTGAGATACAGAATTTTAAAAGTTGACCGAAAACTAATATTTCCCCCATACCCTTATTTTACATGTGTAGAAACCAAGGTCCAGCAGATTTTATACCGTATAATGCGCTGGGTTACTACAATGGATTATACTGGGTTTAGAGAGTGGCATCAGCTATTCTCCAGGGAAGCAGATGGGCTCTCTCTGAAACTACTGAGCAGTCATGGCATTAGACTTTCCATCTCAGGTCCAAAGCCTTTGTGATATCCTCCAATCTCTATGAACTTGTGAAAATAATGTGTTTTAAATGAGTCATTGCTAACCACTACTATGGGTTAAATTGCGTCCCTGATAACGATCCCTAGAAGTCCTAATTCTTAGTACCTCTACACGTCACCATATTTGGAAAGAGGGTCTTTGCAGATGTGATTGAGCTAAGATGAGGTCATTAGGTTGAACCCTAATCCCATGTGACTGACAGCCTTATAAAAGGAGAATGCCATGTGATCAAAGAATCAGACTACAGCAAGAAGTGATGGCCACCACCAGTAAGTCTATTATCCCAAACCCTCAGTTTTCATGTGTATGCTTCACAAAATGAAGCTGCGTACATCCCAGGAAATTCAGTACCTATGAAACCACATTGTTAGATGGGTCTTCAGGGAGCCAAGAACTTAATATCTTGTGTGAGCTTGTGTCTAAGATGTGAGGAAGAGAAGTAAACAGTTAAATCTGTGATACGTACAAGTGCCATGATGGTGTAAGCACAAAATTAAATGAGAAATGAGGCAAAGGGCAGGATGTTGGGTGAGCTTCCTATTTGAAGGGAGTCTTAACACAAAGTTAGTCTGGAGGAGAAGGGAAGTTTCAAAGACAGGAAACGTTTGACCAAGGATGGAGACGGCATCATCAAGCAACTACAAGAAATTCCTACTGTAATACTATGCTACTGGTGTTTAGGCACTTATGTTTTAAATTTTATCTTAATTTTTTTAACATTTTATAATTTGACAGAGTGCAAGCAGGGGTAGCCAGAGGGAGAGGAAGCAGGCTCCTCGCTGACCAGGGAACCTGATATGGGGCTCCATCCCAGGTCCCTGGGATCACGATCTGAGCCAAAGGCAGGTGCATCACTGACTGAGCCCCCCAGGCACCTTGGTGCTTATTTTTAAAGAAGATATAAATATATTATTTTTTTAAAGACAAAGATGGTGTCACCAGCTGAACTATGTCTCTCCCCAGTGTCATAAGTTGACATCACTACCCCCATACCTTAGAAAGTAACCAGAGTTAGAAGGTCTTTAAAGATGCAGTTAAAATGAGGGTTTTGAGTAGGCTCTAATCCACGCTGGTGCCCTTAAAAGAGGAAATTGGAACACAGAAAGATCAGGCATGTGTGCGCACAAAGGAAGGGCGATGTGAAGACACAGCCAGAAGGCAGACATCTCTAAGCCAAGGAGAGAGGCCTTGGGAGAAGCCAGAGCTGCCAACACCATCTTAGACTTCTGATCTTCAAAATTACAAATTTCTGTTAAGCCTTCATAGAATCCATGGTATTTGTCATAGTGCATCCCTAACACACTAGTTAAATGGTCAAAACAGGAAACCTGGGGGAGGATGGCAAGGGCCAGAATGCTAAGGGCCACATATTCCTCACTGAGGAAATAAGATGCCATCTTGACAAGATGCCTTGACAAGGCATTGAAGAACTGAACAGGAAACAGCCTAGTGTTTTAGAAAAAAAAAAAAAAAAAACTCCCTCTTGAAATAAGTGTGGGAGGCCAGAGCAAAGGAAGATTGAAAAGAGGTTGCTGTAAGCAAGAAGGGATTAAGGTTCAAGTTAAGGTGGAGGAGAAATTTCAGTAACATTTAAGAGAGGAACCAGTAGATCGGTTGTGAAGGAAGAGGGAGGGAGAGGAATCCAGAGTAACTCCAGGATGTGTAGGGTGTTGTACCATTGCCACCCTGTGTAGGGAGACACGGGAGGAACACTGTTGGGGGAACATGCTGGACGCGCCAGGCTCAAGATGCTTCAGGACACAGGAAAGCACCGTGGTCCTGTTGATCATAGAGAAAATAGCACACCAATTTGCAAACTTCCCTAACTGTGCAAAGCTCAGATAATGGTTCAAACGAGGGGCGAGGGGAGAGCAAGGAGAGGCCCCAGGACAAAGTATCATGGGAGGACTAGAGGGTGGTAAACGAGTCCTCAGGGAAGCACCAACTTGAGGGCCTTAAACTCCCTGCCAACAACGATGGTCAGAGTGTGGAAACGTGGGACAGAGGAAAAGGAGGCCAGCTAGGACAGAGCTGAAAGGAGGGGTAATGTTTTTCTATTCCACACAGAGAGGGGGAAGGTGAGATGATGGTGGTTTTCACTACGCTCTACAGTGGTTCATAGATAGGAAGATCCAGTGAGACTCAGCAAAGATGGTGCCAAGACCTAGACCGTGGCTCTCCCAAGGCCGAAAGTGCTGTGTTTTCCAACCTGGTTACCACAACTACTACTAACTAGACAGTGGATCACATAACCTTACCTTTATGCAGGTCTTTATCATATCACATAATTTATATGAATTTACATTTTGAAAATGTCACCACAAAGGGAAAAGACTATACATAAATGTATGTCTTTTTTTTTTTAACAAAAGTATCAAATTAACACTGCTTGAAAGCAATGACCTTGGGAATCCATCCACTTATTCATATATACCATCATGTTGAACACTTTTAAAATTTGTCAAAAAATTACAGAGCAATAAAGCTTGGATTCCAATTTTTGGAAAGAGCTAAGTCGATCAGAGTTAGGACTAATGATTGCCCGCACGCCCTCCCAAACACACATACACACAGAAGCAATAGTTTTTGCATCAAAAACAAGACGTGGCTGGCAAATGAGGAAAGCAGATATATCCTGCATAACATGATCTCATTTAAAAAAAATCGTTTTCCTACAGATACAGAATTCTATTATGGTATTTATTACTTTCAAAATCACAAAAAAAGCTCTTTCCATGTTGCAAAAAGGATGTCTACAAAACATTACCTTAGAAATTTGCCCCTTAGGCAATTTCTAAAGAGATTTTCCATAAATAATCTGTGCAAAAGGTGCCTCCCTAAAATAAAAATAGAGCTTCTCAGGATGAGTGCCCTTCAAGTTAACACTCATTGAGGTTCTCACATATGTTTAATGGGGACATATTAAGAAGTTTATACCAAGGTAATGACACTGATTATCTCCTGGAATATAGAATTTTGAGTGCTTTCTACATGGCCTTGTTTCTACCTTCTAACTTAAGAAAAAAAAAATGAACCTGTCCTGCTTTTGGAGTAAGAAAAATAATGATATTGCAAACAAAATAAGTAACATCTGAAAAGGCAAACATCCCTTGGACAATCGATCTCTGTCATTCCCCAAAACACACGTGCGAAGTTATTACTTCAGCTCACAGCCTACGTTCCATCTGCTTTTGTCTACTTGAGCTTCGTATTTAAGGAACGTGGGACTATCATTTTTATGATACAATTTCCTGAACACTTCATTCAGTTGGTTGCTCAATAAACACCAATCAAATAATGTAGGAAGCAGAAGAGAACTGAAACTTCATGAGGACTGCCTTTAAAATTATAAAGGGCAAAGTGTGAGCCTTGCAATGGCCACCCATGTAAGCAAGGCTCAACTACTAGTGCTTGGCTGGATTTACTACCCTCCCCCTCCTGTTTACTCTGCAGCTACATCCAGGTACAGTCCTATACCTGCAGGAAGTGAGACTACGGGGTTTTACAAGCATACTGATGTAGTTCAAGACTCATAATTTCAAAAAATCACATAATCCTGGATCAGTTTCCTAAAAACTGGGTCAAAATCTCTGCCAAAAGAATGTGGCTTATAATAGTTATTGCTTCTCCTTAAAACAAATCCCTTAAGTGGAAATAAAAATTTCATCTGTCTCCGAAAATGCAACCACACATTCTAGCTCTGAACAGAATAATGACTGTATAAAAGCGGTGTGTTTTTAAATATAGGTATGCAAATCTATTTCAATTAGTGAAGGTAGGTTGACCTGTAAATAAATGGCAGGAGAATCAAGAGGCCATAACTTTAGAGAAAGCCTGTTGCCATAACATCAAGAAAGCTAAGAATCTCAGATTTCACTACTTTTTATTCTAAAGAAGAGCTGAGTATATAATTTTATCTTTAATTTACTTCACATTTCAATATAACACTATATTTTCTATTTTCTATTTTCACGCACATGCACTCACACACACATACACAAAATGTATGTGTCCACCAATCGATAGGTCAGAAAGGGCCAATCTATATTAATAAAATAGAAATTTTCAAAATTTGGATGAACCACAAACCAAAAGTAAAAAGATTAATGTATTAAGAAGATAATGCCTTCTGAGGCAAGATTTGATATCAACTCTTGCAGCCTCTTTCCATGATTAATAGTTTTGTGTATAAGTAACAAAAATAATTTACTATACCTGATTTTTAACACCGGCATATCTTTTCAGGTGTTTTATAAATTCTGGTCGAGAAGTGTTTCGTGCAATTATAAGAGCCATGCTTCCATTATTTAATCTGAAATTAAATATTTGTATTTGACATTGAGAAGTTTATTAAGTGATTGCAACAGAAATTACTCGGTATCATTCCTTCTAACAACCACATTTAGTAGAAGTTTTAGGCAAAACTGATTAATCAACATCACATTAAATTTATTTCCAATTCTTAAATCTTATGCTGTGTATCTTATTGCTGTGTTATTTTTAAATGGCACAGCCAGCCCTTCAAATTAGTTTTATTAAGAATTGACTTCCTTTTTCTGTAAGTTCTTATTTAAAGGACATTTTTAAAAAAAATAAAAGAACTATCATGCTTCCTATTCACATATCATTTAAAATCCAATAGATTTACTTAGGGATTCAAAATGTGACATCATGTATGTTTTTAAAAGATTTAAAATAACAAATAAATACTAATAGTATAACAAATTGTTCAATACTTTCTAGAACCTACAGTGTGATATTTAAATATTTACATACAAGCAGGTCTCAGTGACATAAGAAAATAAATCCAAGTGGCCCCTTGTTGGATAAAAGGGACAAACGCTACCACACATGTTCAGTTAAATGACTGAGCATTTTAATCTTGCATAACTGTTCAGTTTAATATAAGAGACTACAAATTTAGAGATGGGATTTAGTGCCAAAAAAGCCACTTACAAATGCATCTAGCTTTAGAAGGCAGTTTGCAGAAATATGTGCAAATGACTTCTAGCTTGATTTCAAGGCAAATATAAAGTTATTCCAAGAATAACAACAACATAAAAAAGAGCTCTTTGAATCTTATGGAAGCTCAGGTCAGAGCTTGTAAGGGATCTTAGAGATTATCCAGTCATTCACTCAGTTTATACAGAAGGAAGAAAAGACTCCAAGTTTAAGTGATTTGTTCAAAGGCACACAGAGAAAAACAAAATGATCACTGGCACCACATCTCTTAATTCTGAGAGTCCAATGCTCATTTTATTCAACATGCCACTTCTTCCCAACTGGAAATAATTAGTGCCAAGACACATTCAGACTACTGTTTTGTGTTTACATTTTCAAAAATTGCTTAATTTTTCATTAACATGAAAAGTACTTCACATGTCTACTTTTCACCACTTTATAGTAATTGAAACACATCCTATGTGCTTTCACGGTTTTAAATGTTTTTTATATATTACATATTTACTGTTAGAATACTGAAAAGAACACTAATTTCTATCAGCAATTTGCACTGAGGTATTTTGAATTAAATTATACTTTATTGTGGGAAGAAAAAATGAAACTGGAGGTTCAATCTCCTGGGCAATGATTCTGAATCATCCAGAAGCTAAATCTCTGACTACCTCTGGTCAGCCAAGGCATGGTATGAAGGCCTTTGCAAAAAAAAAAAAAAAAAAAAAACCAACAGTGTTCAATTACAGTCCACAAAGGAAATCTCTAACTAGTCATCCACTGAAAAATTAATACTGGTTAAACCTAGAGAGAATAAGGAGTGGAAGTCCAGACAAGCTGGAAAATGTATGGAACAGCACTGAAAGAGGCAAGAATCAACTCCCAGAAGAGCAGACTACCTCTCCTAAAGGTCCTTGAGCAAGCTTGAGTCTCAGAGATGAAGTAGGATTAAGTATTGTCTTAAGTCAGCTAGCTGTTTTTCACGTTTGTGAGGGAAACCCATTAGGGGGGCACACCGCTATCTAGGATTTCTGAAGGGACAGGCAGGAAACTATTGAGCTCAATTTCTATATCACAATAAGCTTCAAGATAACTCCTTTCAAGTTTCAGCACTAAAGATAATGAGGACCCTGACATCTAGATTATTAATATTAAAATTTATAGTTTTTCTTCTTCTCTAACTGCAGATATTTCTCATGTTGACTGCCAAGGAAAAAGTTATATCAATCCCCTTTGCTAGCTGTTAATGATTCTGGTTAAGGATTTTGCAGGGAAGACAAAACTAATCATTAAAATTATGTCATAAACTGCCCTGGCACACAAGTCATTCTTTTATTCTACTTCCAGGGAAAAATCTAGATTTGACTATATTATACGACATTCATGATCCTTTCTTCTATGCTTTCTATGGGAGTGGGAGAGAAAGATTTTCAAATGAATAATGGACAGCTGCTTGAAAAGAATGTATGAGAGATGGTTTATATTTTTGTGGATAAAATGATATATAAAAGGTCTCAAGAAAATGTGGGCAGCAGATTCATATGTACCACTATTCACACTAAATATAAATAAGTGCAATTCAGCTTCCTTTGACTGAAGGTATCAAATATACCCACATAAATACTATTCATGCTGAGGATATTTATGTCTGCTCTACAACTTGAAAGTAGAGATGTTCACAAGAAATACCAGAAATATAATGTTTTCGATGACCAGTAAATAAACACAAGTAAAGCAAGTAGGCATAAAGTGACACAGTGAAATCATGTTAATAAAACCCATGAAATATTTTAGCTTTAGTAATATTAAGAAACCAGTGATTGTCTACTATTTCTAGCTTAACAGTGGGGCTCCGCCTACTCAGATGCTAAGTCCCTAAGAATCTTTACTATTATTACAGTCCAAAATAATAATAATCTAGCCAGTCACAAGTTAGCAAGTATTCTAAAAGAAAAAAAAACTGGTTTATAGAAAAGTATTAGTGATTCAATAAAAATGCTTACTAACCTGGTATTAGGTGCCAAGCCTCTAGGTGCCACTGAACACAGGCAAGGGATTGCCATAATGCTGACATTCAAGAACTGACCCTGGATGGTTTGCCACTGATCATTACAGTCTAAAGGCAATGGAAGTGACTGGTTACTTTCCCTCACTAGAGCAAAATGTCACCAGAGCCTGCCTCAGTTCTCAAGGAGGTACGTTTAAACTTACCGGATTTGGGAGATCCTTCTGCCTTCCTAAAAATGAGAAAACAAAGAAAACCACATCACACCAAAATAACATCTATTAAGTTGAGAAACTTCAAGAACCCAGTATGTTAAATATTTTCTTAGAGTAGATACAGTAAGTGAAAATGTGTGAGTATATTCCGTTACTGCATTACACTGTGTTGATTCATTGAAAGGTGGTGTCATCCATAACAATGATTTTCCATTTCTTTTAAAGACCAGAACATTTTCTTTGTGTGGCTTTGAGTAATGTTTGTTACTCAGGGCATAAACCATGGGTTTTGCTTGTTTTTTGGCTTATTGTTGTATCCAAAATGCTTGGGATATAGCATTCAATAAACAGGCTGTTGAATAAATTCATAAATGATTGGACGGATGGATGGGGTGAACAGTGGTTTCTGAAGACAGAAGTCAAACCACATGGCCTACTAGAATTTCACTACCCCATATCCTTCACTAGTATTTTATAAAAACAACCAAAGATCACAAGTCTAATAAAGTGTGTATATCAAACTGTTTCATGCTTTAAAGAAAGATACAGATGTTTCCGTTACTTTGAGCCCTTTACCTACCTTTCTTCTAAATCATGAGAACTGATAAATGGTAAAAATGATATTTCACAGTCTTCAGGCCTGAAATACAATAAATTTTGCTGTTAACAATCATGTATTCTAAGACACAAAATTTTGGGTTTAAGAAAAAAAGACTTACTTAAGTTTTGCCAATGCCTTCATTACCGCAAAATCCCTTCGTTGGTTGGGTGACATCCATCGATGTTTTTCTGCCAAGGCCAAAGTTCTTCCACCAAAGCCAAACATGGCTGAGAACCCGAAGCGAAGAAGCTTTCCAGTTGTGCTAAAAGTGCAGACATCAACTGGTTGTACGTGCCCTTGAATATTATGTTGGATATCAGTCCATTAGTGAGAATAGTAGGGCAAGTTGTCAAAATGGCAAACACAGAGAAGCCTATTTATTTACTTATAGAAGATCTCAAGCAACTTCACACCATGATAAATATCCTTGCTTTCTCTTCACCTCTCTTTACCTACAACTACTGCAATTGCCATTTTTAACTTTTTCAGGTACTAAGGTACACAAAGCAGTAAATATTGCAGTTTATTGCTATTTCACATAAAACACAGTTAAGGAAATAAAGTTCATGTGCAAAATAAACTTAGATTTAACAGTAGTTTTGCATTGCTTTTAAGTTTACAGACTTTCCATCAATGGGAATAATAAAAATTCTAGAGTGGATGTGCAATGTTTTTCCTTTTTGTGTTCTTCTTTTAACAACAGAACCTCAGCCCTACAGTCTTGGTGTAGTCTAACAACACTATCTGATATACTTAAATAGTATGCATGGGCTGTTTTGATCTGATTGTAAAAGTGTGACCTTAAACATCATTATGATTTTTTTTCTTACAAGATTATAGTGAAATTTCATTTACTGCTCTTGGTGGTGCCTCTGCTCTGAAAAGAGAGGCAGTCCAAAATAGTGAAGCTTTGACTTCTGGTTTTTAGTAAAACATTTCTCTGATCTGAGACACACAGAACTTGTCCTTCCTTGGATAAGTCTGACAGAAGTAAAATAGCCTTATATAAATATAAAAACTTCCTTATCAAAAAGAAACTTCCTTATAAAACATGAACTTGTTTGAAAGAATTCTTACCCATTATAATGTGCAAAGTTGCAGTTACCACATGAGGGATTCCATGAAGAGAATGTGCCAGTACGTTAGTAGAGCCTGCCAAATCAATTTTAAAACATGTAAAATCAATGTAGTGTATGTTTTAAGTTATCCACTTGCTCTTACTTTAGGAGATATCGCTATGTATCATTCAAATGAAAAATCAATGAAAGTTTATAGATTTTCATTAATAGCTTAGATTCACATTGAATGGTTGTCAAATTACTGTTTAGCCTTTAAACAACTTAAAATTAGAAAATAGAGTATTTACTTGCTCACAGATTTTTTTCCCATCATTAATGTCTACTTTCTACCAAAATAAACTAGCGGTATCAAAGTCTACTCTATCTTCAATGAGTGGGCTTCTAACTTCTTTCACAAAATGAACACCAAGAGCATTAAGGGTGTCTCTGGAGAGCCGAGACAAACGCATAAATACATAAATAAAAATCCAAATAGTAATGAAGAAAAAAAATTTTAAATCCCTACAAAGTACAAAAGACATGTTTTAAATACCTTTAGCGACTCTTAGAGATAAGCTTTCATCCAAGAGGGGATTCCCCTCTTATCTGACAAATAGTATCCTAGATGAAGAAAATATTTAATTCCATAGTATTTACCATGCTACGGAAGTCTGTTTTGAGATGTTATACGTTTCTTATTTTCATAATCATTAGGATGATTTAAGATCCACATGAATTTTTGCCACCAGCCTATGAAAGAAAAGAGCTCTCCTCCAGTATGGCTTCTATGACATTTAGGGTCTCGGAGACCTTGAGGTAAAAGCCTTCTTCTGAAGAGGAAGATTCCAACTAGCCCCTGCCATTTCCAGGAGGCTAAAAGGCTTTAAAATTAAGAAGCTACAAGTTTCCTTGAGATACAGATTATAGGAAAGAAATCCAGTAACAGCTGAGAGCTGTGAAAGCATGGATGTGTGGTGTACTGCAGATATCAAGGCGAAGACTAGCCCCCTGGACTTGTTCTTTAGGAACATTCCTGTGTGGTCATACATGATCTCTTCAATTTGTATCACTTGAACTGATGTGTGTCTAGGGTTGTTCGGCCAAAGAAGCTGAGGCTACTCAGACATTTTCAACCAAGGCTGTCATTAAATTAATCACCATAAGGGACTGATCTAATATTAATGTCTTCCAGGCCTCTGGTGATGCCAATTCAAAGAAAAGTCCACCTCAACCAATTAGTAAACCTGTTCCAACTGATTCATCAAAGGGTGAATTATGCTCTGAATTCTGTTATTCAGAATATGGTCTACGGTCCAACAGTAATACCATGGTGCTTATTAAAATGTAGACTCTTGGGTCCCACTCCAGAACTCCTGAATCAGAGTCTGCATTTTATAAGATCCCCAGGTTATGTGTGTGCACAGTAACTTGAAGAGTGCTTCTTCTAGAAGAGATGTATGGTCCAGGGATCAGCAGCATCAACATTACCTGGGAGCTTGTTAAAAAGGCAAATTTCGGGATGCATGGGTGGCTCAGCGGTTTGAGCATCTGCCTTTGGCCCAGGGCGTGATCCTGGGGTCCTGGGATTGAGTCCCACATTGTGCTCCCTGCATGAAGCCTGCTTTTCCCTCTGCCTCTGTCTCTCTCTGTTTCTAATAAATAAAATCTTAAAAAAAAAAAAAAGGCAATTTCTGGGTCTTACTTCCAACCACTAGAATCGGAAGGTCTGGAAGTGAGACCCGGATATCCATGCCTTAGCAGGTTCTCAAGGTGACTCGTATGCACTCTAAGGTTTAAGAACAGGAGTCCAGAGACCTGTTGCTCAGTGGATCTTTACCCAGGAGTCAATTACCTAAGCCTTTCCAATTATCCTTTGACCATCTACGGCCTGCCCTTTGGTCATCTAATTGCTAATTAATCTGGAATGGGTGGGAGGGAAGAGAGGAAACAAATCAACCTATTTTGCTTCCCAATCAGATTTATGGTAAAGGTTTTGGAGGAGGCCACGTAATTAGAGTGAGATATTTAGGATTATCAATGGATTACAGTACTCCATGAAACACATTTCCTCCATTACCGTGGTTAATTAGGAATAGACCATAAAAGCATTCCTCTAGAAAGGCTATTAAAGAACATAATGTAATGTTGTCATGTGCAATAGAGAATGACACATATCATGACTCAAGAAAATAAAGACCATTTATTCCCTGTGAGGATCAAGTATGCTAAGCATGCCCAAACACAGATCCTTTCAGGCTACTAAGGATCACTTTCTTTCTTTTTACCTCTCAGGCTTTGCACCTTGACAACTTTTTCTTAACTCCATAGAATTTGCAGAGAGGCACGACCAGAAGCCAGAAAATTGTTTCCGTCATCTTCTACGCTGATTAACCTGTTCCTCGGTCCTTAAGAACACTTTTTTAACTCTCTGAATTTAAAAGGCAAGTTTGTGAGGAAAGTGGATATAAAATGGTAATACTATAGGTTGCTCTGTATTTTTGTTTGGATGATCTAAAAGACAGAGTACAATTTCCAAAAACAAAATGTGATCCATCTGAAAAGATGTCTACATGCCAAAAGAACATGCTGCTCACATAAATAACGGCTATGTAATTTTAGCATCCTCACAAAAGCTATAAATGTTCTACCTCAAGGTAAACATTTTAATTAGCCTGAAAAGTTATTTTTCTTAACAGCTACCAGCAACTTTGCTCACCACCACCTCCCCAGACCTGCTAAAGGGTGCCAAATACACAGAGGTAAGGACGGAAGTAGCAGTTCATGTAAAGCATGAATGATGGAAATACCAGGCAGAAACTATGGAGGCAAAAAGAAAAAAAGGAAAAAAATTGTCCTTGGAAGTGCAAGCACTTCTGTAGAACAATTAACTTAATTAACCAGACCCCATGAATATTCATAAGGCCGTTAATGTCTCCCACATCCAAACAGATAAATGTGATGTAATGACTTCCTAGTCAAGCATATCTAAAATTCTCATGAAAACTGCACCTACACTTTGGTTCTTTGCCTGAAATATCATAGAAATTAATAGTCCCTTGGCAATATTTTACTCTCCTCAAATTAATTGGCAAGCATGAATTTATTTATGTGAACGCTATAGGAATATATGGTTTGCAGCCATCAGTATGTGGATTGTGCCTTGTTTTACAACAACTGGATTGCTTTTTTTTTTTTTTTTTTATGTCCTCTCTGGCTTTTTCCTCTATCCTCCCCCCACCCCTTTAATCGGAATCTCTCAGTATAGTTCCTTAGCACCAGTTCCCATGGCAACAAACACCATTGCTAATGGCCAGCAGTTCTAATACAGGCTTCCCCACATCTGATCCATCTGAGTCTGACCATAATTCAGCGGCTTAGTCTGTTGGCTCAGTGGAGTCATTTACTAAACACTCTCCCTCTGGGTGTCTCTCTCCAGGAGGCAAATGGCTTCAAAGGCAGACTGTCTTCTGTGTGCAGTTGGAGACTTCCTGCCTAGCCCTTGTCCCCCCTTGTTCCCCATTCACTATCAGAGCCCCAATGGGGCCCTGAGTCCTCCCATCAGCCCAGCCCACACACGACATCCCCCTCCTTATGGAGTCCAGAAGCTGGAACTCCCGGACAGAGGCCACAATTTTGGCAATAGGCTATATTTGCTAAGGAAAACGCATTCAAATGGCATGTTAAAAACATCAACATAACCACTGGTTTTTCTAGCTAACTATTCACTGCATGTCCAATGTGTGTGTCTTCCCACTTTTGCTCCATAGCAGTTAATAAGTGACCTCAGCAGTGTACATACTAGTGAAGAGGAAATGACCGTGGCACATCCCCTTGGCACGCAAGGTAACGCTGAAAAGCTCCACCGTTATAGACAGAGCTCCTAAAATGACATGAAAAGGTAAAAGTGGCTGGCTCCACTTCGCCAGCATCTTTTTTTGTTGTTGTTTTTTTCCTAGTTGACATGATTGTGTTCTCTTCTGCTTAAAGACCATCCAAGGTTTTTCTTAATTATTGGGATATATCCAAATATGTCTCTCCTTTTAAATTCTTGGAGTTTTTTGTGTTTTTTTTTTTCCCCTTGGAAAGACTTCACAGTCCTTAAGAGTATTTGTACATCTTTTGTTGTCAATTAATAATACTAAATATACTGAAATCCATACTAAATGAATGTGGTCATCAAATGGGTAGAATGAATTGTTCTTTGCTGTGTAATGATTTCCTATCTTCATAGGAAACAATAATTGTTTCTGTTTTATTTACAGAGATAATAACGTGCGATGTTTTCAAAATGAAAACTAATCACTTTCCATCACTATTGTTTGTTTAAATAATTTGGGAGGAGTGACTGGCATAACGTAATCCACTTGTGAAAGATGTTCTCGTCTTGTCTGGATGCCAGCGCAGTCAGGCTCTGACCCCCCCCCTCCCCTCATCACAAATTCTCCTAGAACAGGCTCCCAGCAGGGTGTTCCCTTGCTCTAAAACCTTCCATTGTTCCCTACTGCTTATCAAACACAATTCAGACCCCTCCCTGTGGCATCTAGGAATCACCAGGGTTTGGGACTATTTTGATCCCATCCCCCACCCAACAATGGCCTGTGTTCTATTTCTCAATGCTCCTGGATTATTTCTGCAACGAAGAAAATAACTCCTCATCTTCTCAGGCCAGAACCTACCCATTCTTTGGCCTAATTCAACTTGCTCTATAATGTTAGAGCATTATACTTGCTCTATAATGTTTTCTATACATTCGTTCACTTGATAAACTTCGTTGAGCATTCACTGTGTCACGTTCTATCCCAGCCGCTGGCAATACAGCAGTTACGATGAATTTTTTTGGCATTCTCAACTCAAGGTTATCTATTTATACTCATATAAACAGATAATACATATCTATCTGTACTCTGATACTCAAGGTTATCTATTCTCTATTTGTACTCTGAGAGTTACCGCATGACATTGTGAGCAGCTTGTGAGTGGCCTTGTTTTGAAATTTCATACCTGGTACTGTGTGATCATTAGACCTTTATATTGGAAGACAGAATAATAATAATCCCATTTGTTGAATATTTAACTATGCATCAAGTCCTCCACAGATACCATCTAATACAACAAAAGCCTTATAATGAGATGACTATATGTGTATCTTTTTTTTTTTACAGATGAGAAAAATGAGGCTCAAAGAAATTAAATAACTTGTCCAAAGTCTCACATTTGCTTAGCAGAGATGCCAAACTTGGTTCTTTCAGATTCAAAGTCTGTGCATTTAACTCTGTGTTATACTGTCTAGGTTAGGAAATAGGAGAAAGACAGGAGGAGAGGTTCCAGTTAGCAAATCCACGGCCCCTTGCTTGCCTGCTGGTATTAACCCAAGTGGAAGCTGTGCTCGGACAGGGGTGAGAATGCTCTCTGTTTCTTTCCCAGCATTCTTCTGGGCTCTAAGAAGCAAAGCATGTGCAACTTCACTGGCAGATCCATCTCCACCAACACAGACGACACTAGAAAACAAGAAATTAAGAATGCAACTCTTTAAACTAATTGGTAATAATCCATGAAATCTCAACTTCGAAATAGTCATCTTATATATTCATGTGAATGGTACTTACATGCCCCTTGCAACACTTTAGCAAGTGTCAATGAGTAAGAAGTTTTCCGCACTGGTAAAGTTTACTTCCCAAATACAATACCTACACGATACCCCGTGGACAAAATGGTTTTCAGTGGGTTAAGAAGCATTATAACATCTGAACATGTTCTTTCACATCGGCCTGCGCTCTGCTCTGCTAATATCCAAAAGTATATTGTTCTCAATTTGTTTATATTAGTAGTCATGTGCAATTCATTTAACCAACTGCTAATTTTCAACATAGCTCCAAAAAGACAGACAGCTGTAAAAGTTATGTAAACTATGAAACTTTAAAGCTATTTATCATTAGTATATAGAGTAATTGCAAACTTGAACTGTCTTTTGTCTTTTGGACATGACTGCTACATGGCACTATGAAAGTTATTGATACCACTCTTGACTCTAGTCAGTACTGCTCACAATTTTTTTAAGACCTCGTAAGTGGACTGTAGTAGAGGTGGTGGTAGGACTTCATGAAAGTAACGTATAAGATTTCAGAAATTTGTTTCATAATGATTTGTATTTAAAAGATACAAAATAATCTGAAGGAGCAAAATCATATTAATTTATCCAAAAGGAGGAAGACTTTGTGTATTTGGAAGCAGGTGTCATAACTCAAGGTCTGTAAGGGCCCAGCAGAAACAGAAGAGCAATGCTGAGTCTAAAGGAGGAACAGATTCTCCGCTCAGCCCACTCATATCATCTGGGAGGCAGGCCTAGATTTTTCCACAGATTTTTTTCATCCTCTGATTTCTCTAGAGGAGCCACAGATTCTGACTTTTGGGTGAGCCATTTTATCCACTCGCATTCAAAATATTTAAAAACCTCTCTATGCCAAACAAAGCCTATGGACCATGAACAGGTGGTTTTATTTATATTAAGGTTTATTTATTTATTTTAGAGAGAGAGCAGGAGGGAAGGGATGAGGTAGAGGGAGAAAGAAACCCAAGCAGATCCCACACTCAGCAAGAGCCTGAGGTAGGGCTCGATCTCAAGACCCTGAGATCAGACCTGAGCCAAAACCAAGAGTCGGACGTTCAACTGACTGCACCACTGGGTGCCCCGATCACCAGGTTTCAAATAGTTTCTGAAGTTTAGGAAGCTCTGGACATTGGTGAATACAGAGCCTGAGGGTCCATCAACCCCCCTCACCTTGCTCTCAGCCTCCCAACCCCTGCACACATCTGAGGTTCAGCCCTACGGCTGCACACAGCCTGGCAGGCCCAGGTCCCCCCTAGGTATAAGGGACTCCAGGACATAGGATAGACCCAGGTAATTTGATGTCTGAAGTGGTTCTAGGGGTACCTAATGTGGCCACTGACTCAGAAAGAAGTGACTGTACCTACTGAGGGTTGACTTTATGTCAGATAATACATTGGTTCTTTTCTATTACATCCTAAGAATTCTGCAAAGCAGGCATTAGCCTCATCTTCATATAAGTGGAGAAACCAAGGTTTGATGTGAACCTTGTCTATAGGATTTCAAATATCACGGAGATTTGCAAACATTCAATGAACTTCATTGTAATGATCAAATTCATGCCCTTTCCTACCTGCTGGGGTGTGTGTGTGATCTAAAAGGAGCACGTAAAGTCATCCAACAAAACATCTAACTTGGCCCAGAAGAACTTGGCTTTTCCACTTAGTATGGCAACATCTAAACCCTGAGATCCTGCATAGTGTTTCCTGGAATTGATAGAGATGGCTCCTCTGTGAACATACTCTGCTACAAAAGCCTTTGAGTTTTTGTCATAATACCTTCTATTTTACTTTCAAACTTTAACAAACTATAATTACAACCATCAAGTAACATTTAGTGAAAAATCACTATGTACCAGGTACTGTTCTCGGCACTCTCCTGTATTAACTCATTTAATTTAGACAATATCTATATGCAATGGATACTTTTACCTTCAATTTCAAGTTAGGAAACTAAGGCAAAGAAAGATTAGATAAGTTGTTCAAGGTCATTACATAACAAGTGACAGAAGGACTGGAAACATCACAATTCCACCTTAGAGGCTGCACTACCACTATTCCATGTGTTCTAATCCTTTCCTATATGTGAAACCTAATGAAAATCACCTTATGAGAGGTTTATTATTTTGAAAATCAGTTTACCAGTGGAATCACTGTGGGATGAAATGTGTTAAGAAAAAAAATATACTCATGTTGATAACTATTGTATCATCAAGATCACCTCCAGGAATAGTTACTCAACCGAAGGGATGTACTTAATGCAAACATATCACAAGAGTCTGGATGTCACAAGAAAAGGAAAAGCAAACAAACACCCACAACATTATGTGTTAATAACCACACTTGAGAGTTACCCTAAAACATGAATCTTAGAGTAACTATTCCTTGGCATATGGTACATCTTATATTTTCAGAAAAAGTAAACTCCTTCTTGCCATGACTCCAAATACAATGATTCCGTCTGGAAAAGTACAACTAGAGGCCAATACGTTACTTCTCTTCATAAAATTTCTCTTTCTATAATTTTTAAATTGGTGTTTCTTTGTCTACAAGCCAATATCATCTTTGAAATGTTTAATATGTCACTAGGATTTGATTTAAACTTTTTCTTTCTTGAAAAGAGGTGCTTTTTTATTTTAAATGCCTTATTTAGTAATACAGATAATGTGGTCAATGTGATCAGATGTCAGTGGTAGTCAGATAACATCTGAGTCAGTGTGGGTCTAGGTAATGGTGCAATTTTTAAAAAGAAAGGAAAAATTGTAATTCAACAAATAAAAAAAAACCACCTTGAAACAAAACCGAGAAAATATTAGTATGTTTATAACTTCATAAGAGCATAGATTAACTTAACCATGTCCACACTTGTAAATTCAACTGTTACCACTTCGAGTCTCTATACCTGATAATACTCTTTTCTTTGCCTTTACAAAACTTTCTAACGGTGCATAGTAAAAATCAGGGGCAAATGAAAAGTGACACTCCTACAATTTTTAGCAATGGGTCTCTGAGTGTTCACTAGAACACAGTGGATTTGCACAACTGCCATCTTGAGTAATGATAGATGTGTTCCTGTTTGCTTTTTGGTCACAATATATCTTCACAGAAACAAACATGTAACTCATTAAAAATTCCTAAATCTTAGCAAGTAACATTTAGGTTACGTGCTAAGTAACAGTAACTAAACCACTTTGCTTTATTAAATAGTATACACAAAATATTTCTTGGATCTTAAACTCTCTAGTCTGTGTCTAAAAACCTTTCAATCCCACCCTATCAATAGCTCCACTTGAGTCAGGCAGAAATGCTTCAGGCCCAAATTCTTGAAGGAATCCCCTCTCTCATCAAAAGACCATAGAATCTGGGGGGTAGTTCATCCCAACCTTGAATCATTTGTACCTATTCCTCAAAAAGTGCTCCAAGAACCACTCTTTGAACAAGTTGGGAAACCAGGAAATATGCTATATATTATCGACTATAATGGTCATGCTGTACATTATGTTCCTATGACTTATTTATAACTGGAGGTCTTGTACCTCTTGATTTCCTTCTCTCATTTCACCCACCCAAACCTCCTCCTCTCCAGCAACCACCAACCTGTTCTATCTTGCCATTTGCAACACGCAAGGACCTAGAGAGTATTATACTAAGTAAGTTAGAGAAAGATAAATATGATTTCACACATATGTGGAATCTAAAAAACAAAATTTGTACAAAGCACTATTCTTCTAAAGTGTCTAAAGAAAATAAGTTTCCATTGTTCTCCCCATATACTTATTTACGTAATTCCAAGTGGAGTGATTTAAAATAACCATTTTACTAAGTTTTCCCAGCTTCCAGTAGAAAAACTGGGCCCATGAAAATTAATGAGATATTTAAGGAATCTTAGAAAATAGATTTTCCATAGAAATTTTTTAAATTATTATAAGTCCTAAATAAATTAGCATGCTGTGGAATTCAGAAACAGCTAAATCACAGTGGTGGAAAGGGGAAGAGGAAGAAGGAGAAGCAGACGCTTTGCTGAGCAGGGAGCCTGATGCAGGCATTGATCCCGGGACTCCAAGATCATGATCTGAGCTGAAGGCAGCTGCTTAACCAACTGAGCTACCCAAGCGCCCCTCTGCAAAATTTTTCTTGATCCTTACACAGTATAATTACCAATGGAACTTATTTATACATACCACATTTGGTGGAACACTTCAAAATGCTGATGGGCAAGGCCAGGTCTCATATCTATGATATCTGTTATCCTCATTATTTATATAATCACGTTTTGAAGAAAGGACTTATTTGCAATACCACCACACTTACATACTCATAAGCTGTGTTTCAGGACTATGCAGCGTATTAATGCAATAGCTGGTGGGCATGATTCCCCCAAATACTTTTCTTAAATTGTATACTTACAAGATAATTTGCCAAATGTAGCCTGTTAATCAATCTGTCTAGCTTTAAATATAAAGCTTTTAAGTAATCTCCTACCTCATATTCTTCATCCTCAATATTTATATAACGTTGCCATCTAGATTTGCTCCTCTCAGATTCCTTTTTGAAAAGTTCGGTTTTTACTTATCAAACACTCTCTTCTTAACTCACTAATACTGTTTTTTTAATCAAAAAATATTAAGCATTTCTGGGAAAATTACCCTGTTAGCACTCCATTTTGATTGCATCACTTTCCTTCCTAAAAATATTCTAATAGTTCTTTGGGAAGAACAAAGTCTTTCGCTCTACAGTTCAAAGACACAACTGTCCTTCCTGATATTATGTTTTGTTTTCAGCCCATTACCGTGTGACACAAATAACTCACATGCTTGCCACTTTTTAAAACCCTGAAATATCAACCCTTGGAAAAACCTTCCCTAAGATAATGTTTTTGTCTTACACATCAATCCATCACTTTAACAAACTGATTTGCCTACTTTTTAAAAATGGTTATTACAGGGGATCCCTGGGTGGCGCAGCAGTTTGGCGCCTGCCTTTGGCCCAGGGCGCGATCCTGGAGACCCGGGATCGAATCCCACATCGGGCTCCCGGTGCATGGAGCCTGCTTCTCCCTCTGCCTATGTCTGCCTCTCTCTCTCTCTCTCTCTCTCTCTCTCTCTCTCTCTCTCTCTTTCTCTCTATCATAAATAAATAAATTTTAAAAAATGGTTATTACAGTACATCACTTGCCTCCAATGCTTGCATGACAGTGAACAATTTCTACATAATAATGTATTGCAAGCAACAGTTTCCAATGTCTAGTGTGGATAACACACTTAACTAGTAGCCACTAAATTATAAAAGAATTAAAACTAGCATCTTTTTTTTATACTGGAAATAATATTTACATATTTTTAAAAGATTTTATTTATTCATTTGAGAGAGAGCATGAACACAAGCAGGGAGTAGGGGGTAAGGAGCAGAGGCAAAGGAGAAGCAGACTCCCCCCTGAGCAGGGAGCGCGGGGCTCCATCCCAGGACCCTGAGATCATGACCTGAGCCAAAGACCGATGCTTAACCAACCGAGCCACTCAGACACCCCAATATATTTGTTTTTATAAAATATTTACCCTCAATCACAGCCAAATTAACCAGTAGGCAGCTATGAGCACTATCAATAAATTTGCAAAAGAGCATCACAATAGTTATATCATGTGACCTCCCATCATTTCTTTTCTAGATACTCACATGGTTAGAGCCAAGAATGAAGGACTAAAGATGCACATTAGGTCAGCAGAACGTGATACTCTTTGATTTCCCAGTACTTACAGGTTTCTCCTTTTGTCTTCCTATGCCCAATCCTGAGAGGTAGATGACCATGCCATATTTATCATTAACTGCTATTACATAGATGTGAATGGAACAGTCTAATCATATACACCGCAAATGCTGAAATATTTTTAACTCCCAAATATGTGGCTAACAACTAATGAAAACATTTCATAACATAAGCTATATGACATAGACAGATTGATAATATAACCTACCCATCAAACTCCTGGAGTTCACATTCCTTAAGCAGTGCCAGAGCATGCCCTTCATATTCTGTGACTATTAAAAAACAAAAACCAAAAAAAAAAAAAAGTGAAAGTTTTAAACAACGATCTACACTTTTTAACTAGTTTGGCAAACTAATATGATAAACATATGGTTAGGTCATAAAACAACATTTATTCTTGAATATTTATATTTTAATCATGGGAAAGAGGATTAAGTGTTACTGGCCTGACGTGTTTTATAGCTTTATGGAAAAGAGGGTCATATATTTGTTCCAACTACATAAGTCATTTGGGGATATCCCTCACGTAGCAGTAGGATCATTTATCTCGGTGCCTGTCTGTTCAGTGTTCCCTTCCTGATATTATAAATAAGATAGATTTCCTTTAAATCAGAAGCCTAAGAGCAGCCGTATTTTGGAAATAAGGCATATTAGCTGGCATCAAGCAGTCAATGTTAAATCGCTTTGGCAACCTTACATGAATAAATTAGTTGAAAGGTTAGTGTAAGATTTACATACTAGAAGAATGTGTATCTGGAACTGCTAGACTCAAAAGAGGTGGAGCTGGATGTGAAAATAATGAAGCCAAGCCAACACCAATGATGACAGACCCAAAGCCGAGGAGGACGGTGGCACAGACCCACCAGAGCCGGATCCTCCGAGGAAATGAATCTGTCACTCCCTATCGCTGTCTCTACAATCACGATGCCCTATGCAGTATTGTAAATGCCAGTGGAGACAGGATAAACTGGCACACTGCAGATGGCACCAAGCATCCCAACCACATTTAGCATTTTCTAGGGCAGTGTTGCCAGAAGAGACAGCCCAGCTGTATCCACCCATCAAAGATTTCTGCTGACTGACATGACACTGCAGATGGATTTTTTGTGTAAGAATGTGCATCATTATATGCAAGATTACATTAATCTTTCATGCCTGTCTGTCCCTGGTGCCAGCATGGTTCAAGCTTTTCCTACAATGTTTTTAGATATTGTTAAGAATTATTAGTCTTGGTGTCTAAAAGAATCATTCTGTATCCAGTAGCATTACATTGTAATTCTCCCAAAGCTTATTCAAATGCTGTTAACATTCACATGAATAAAACTTCTCTATATTAAATTCTAATCAGAAGAAAGCTATGAGAAAACTAAGTATGAAATATTAATATTAATAAACTCGGGAGGTTAAGTTATCATAAATGATTGTGTTGACCATTTATAAACCTCAGCAAGTAGTTGCAACCTTAAAAATACAAAATAAAATGTTAGATACATACGCACACTGAAAACACTTCATGACATTATGAAGAGATATTTATGCTGAGAATCAGTTTTAACAAATCTAGCTCTTATGCTAAAGCTTCCCTTGGTCGAGCTTTCCAAATCCAATACAAAATTAGCTTTAAAATTAGGCTATGACTAAAAGCTACTTTTATTTAGGACAGATTTTAAATAATATTCTATTTCTTTGATCTTGCAGGTGGAATTTGATGATATATTGATGCACATTATCAAAGAAAGGTGATTTTTAAAATGACATTGGAAAAGGCAAAAAAAAAAAAAAAAGATAGTGACCGGGAACAAAGAGAAAAGATGAGAGAAACTTGATCACACATATGAGGAAAATGAACAAAAGGAATGCAATCCTTGGCTTCAGGGAGCTCACACTCTGGAGGCAGACACTAGACACGAATTTTAAAACCTGAATACACAATATGAAATAGTGATAAGTGATTATAAAGAAAAATAACATAGGGAAAAAGGATAGAGAACAATCTGGACTACTACTCAGATACAGTAGAAGAAACTGAAGTATGTATTTAGAATATTATGGGCCCTGGAGTCAGAAAGAGCTAGATTCACGTCATCCCACTCCAAATAAACATAAAGAGTAGACTGCTAGGCAAATGCAGTTTCAAAAGGTTACTTTTTTTTTTTTTCACTTGCTTTCCTTTTCTGAGGAGAATGACACCCTATGCCCTTTCTATTCAGGAAATTTGGAGATTCCATTCTTTACAAGGCTCTGAACTCAGCTCCCAGTGCTGGGCTTCCCCCACCCATCCCCTAACCTTCCAGTTTAAATATTACTTTCTCAGGAAGACAAGACTGGAGGAAAGTACGGTCTTGAGGTTGACGCTGAATGTTGATGAGGAAACAGGCAGAGGCAAAAATCAGCTGAGATCTGGACTGAAAGATACATTTCTTGGTCTGGGGACAAAATTCGATAATGGGATAAGATGGCATTTTCTCTCCTATCCTATAGGTACTTCCGCCTTAGCAAGCTCCAAATGGAATCTGTCATTTCCACCTTCTTATTGCCTCTCAAACATATTGTTTTTTGTGTTCTAACATCTATTCCTTGCTACCCAAGACAAGAAAATTGGGATCCCTGGGTGGTGCAGCGGTTTGGCGCCTGCCTTTGGCCCAGGGCGCGATTCTGGAGACCCTGGATCGAATCCCACGTCGGGCTCCCGGTGCATGGAGCCTGCTTCTCCCTCTGCCTGTGTCTCTGCCTCTCTCTCTCTGTGTGTGTGACTATCATAAATAAATAAAAATTTAAAAAAAAAAAGTGGGCAGCATGATAGTCTCTTCTCTCCCTTTAACCTTTATCCTGCTCTCCCTAGAATGACTTTCTCAGGCATTCAATCGTATTCTTTTCCTACATAACTTCCACTGAGGACTCTTCACTGTCCAAAGACAATGCCCTAACTCTGACATCTGAGCATTAGAAACAGGATTGGCCATATACATCCACAATTATCTAAGGGATAACAAAAAGAAACTTTCATCCAGAAGTCTCTCCATAGCTGGATAGGATGTGTGAACAGGTATTATCCAGATTTTTACTAACATGAAGGTAAAATCGGAAAGAAATAATGTCTTGGACTACTAGCATCTCTTGTGACTCAATTTTATCAAATTGCCTAGCATTGTACTGGGCAAGATCAAGAATAACAAGAGGCATTTCCAAGGGGAGAAGGCTTTAAGTGGAGACAGAGCCAGAGAAAAAATTCCAAGAGGAGATTTGGCAAAGTGTCAAAAGTTAAATTCATGATCCTATCAGAAGAGGGAAACAAAAGGCTGGCAACAAACTTCACTTTCTTGACAATTCCATCAGGGCCAAAGGGGAAGTAAAAATTATCTGGTGACGAGGCAGTCCCATGGGCCCCAAATTGGCAGAGATGGAGGCTAAATTCAGAGAAGTGTCTTTGACCACGATAATGATGGTGAGCATGATAAGGTCTAGCCGCTTTGTTAACACCAAAATTGACTGAAGGAGATGGAATTGCCTATCATGAGCAGGGGAGATTAGAGGGCATAGTATCTGTTTCAAACTTTTCGGTGAGCCTTATCCACAAGATGGGACACATTTACTTTGCGTTACTACAAAGGAGAGCATCGACTCTAAAAATTACAAGGAGGCAAATGTCAGCTCACTGGTTCTCCCTGCGGTTTATGTCTTGTGCAGAGGCATGTGGCCAAAGGGGCAGATACATTTGCAATCTAGCTAAGATACCCAACTCAACAAGTTGGCGGCCTTGGGCAGAATCAGCCCAAAAAGGACACCCTTACATAAGTTAGCACAAGCAAGGTGGCTTTTCTAATATGCACAAGGCACAGGGACCCTGACCTCAATGACCAGCAGTCCTCTCCAGTCACGGGAGACACCACCACGGGGTACCCACGCAGAGGCTGAGAGTTCACCGCACAGGAGTTGAACCACACCTACACTCCGCCACGGGGGCGAAATTAAGCTAGACAACCTCTACGGCTATTTCCAGTTTGATCTCTCTGTTGCCTTTTTTCATTTTATTGTTCTACAAATTATACCAGGAATCTATGATCTCTCAGAAACTCGCTCACACCTTGTGAACAATGTAAATCCTAGAGCCCGCTCCGTTTGAGGAGCAAGATAAAGAAATGGTATCATATGCCAGCTTGTGCTTCCCATGCCTGTTCTCCTTCGATTCATGGGCCAATACATTATTCGAAAAAAATAACTTCCATTCTAAGTTCTTCCAGAAGTGTTTCTGATACACTAGAGAAGATCCCACCCTGGTGATGGTAGCGGAGGGGGGATGCAACTTCAGCTCATGTATTTCAAAAGATGCACGATCTATATTCAGAAGTAGTGTTTCAGCAGTAACCAAAATGAAAAGTATGTTTTTATTGATGTGGTGATTATTTTTTTTTAAACTGGAAGTTTATACCTTCTGACACCCTTCACTCATTTCTCCCACTCCCCACCTCTGGCAACCATACAGAGAACAGAACCAACCCGTTCTCTATACCCATGTGTTCAGTGGCAGGTTTGCTTTCTGTTTTTGTTTTTTATTTTTTTAAGATTCCACATATAAGTGAGATCAGACGGTAATTTATCTTTCTCTGACTTATTTCACTTACCATAATGCCCTCAAGGTCCATTCATGTTGTTAAAATGTCAGGATTTCCTTCTTTTTATGACCAAATAATATTCCATCATGTATGTATATGCGTGTATGTACGTGGGTGTGTATATCACACACATACAGACACACACATCTTCTTTATCCATTCATCCACTGATGGACACTTAGGCCGCTTGGCTGTGGTAAATAGTGCTGCAACAAACATGGGAGTGCAGCTATCTCTGATTTAGTGGGTTTTTTTTTTTTTCTCCTTTGGATAAATACCCAGAAGTGGAATTGCTGTTATCATAAGGTAGTTTTATTTTTAAATTTTTGAGGACCCTCCATACTGTTTTCCACAGTGGCTGCACCTATTTACATTCCGGCCAACAGTGCATGAGGGCTCCCTTCTCTCCACATTCTCACCAACACTTGTCTTTTTTGGTAATAGCCATCCTAACAGATGCGAGGTGATACATTTCACTGTGTTTTTGATCGGCATTTCCTTGATGATTAGTGACGTTGAGCACCTTTTCATGTACCTGTTGGCCATCCGTATGTCTTCTTTGGGAAAACAGCTATTCAGATCCTCTACCTGTTTTTAATGCAACTATTAATTTTGCTACTCATTCTTAAAATAAATTTATAGAAAAAACCCTTTAAAGTGTACATGTCTAGCTAGAATTTTTAAAATCCTGCCTCATTTATATAAGCACTTTCTCCTAGTGAATTTATCATCATGTAGAATTTATTATGTAATTTATATTCCATTTAGACTCAGCCATGCACACAAGATATGCTAAAATAATGGTCACGCTGGACATGCAGAAAATACATGAGTTTTACTCTTTCACATATCTTTTTCTTTCAAGGTGTGAATTGAATCTATTACATCTCTTATGAAACAGACATGCACAGCATTATGACCATCCTTCTAGGGCACTTAAGAATATACGAGGTAGCTTCAAATATATCACCTGACTCAAACGACAGAACCACACTATGAGGCAGGCAGAAAGATTCAAAAGCTTTTCAACTCTCCACGGGTTTATTCAGTCCTTGGCACAAAATAGCAAACTTTTAAAATATAAATACTTAGCTAACATACATAACTAACATGGTTTTATACGCAAAAGATGCAATTTTATAATTTTGCCTGTAGGAGGAGTGTTAGGCAGCTAATAATTAGCCATTCTGCACAAATATATAAGAAATTTCTAAATTTGCTTAATGTGATATGCTAATTTTACTTTATGTTTAACTAAATATAATATTCAGTAATAGTTACAAATTTAGGGGAAAAAAGAGCCCTAGGACATACAATGTTTCTCTCCAATACAAAAGAAAGCAAGCACATTCTTATCATTTCCTCTGCCTCCCATCAGGTTTCCTCACGTACCCGTCTCCTTTCTTCTAGGCTCTGTGTCTTCCTTCCTCATCTCTATGCTGTTGGCAGAATCATTTCTGCTAAACCAGATGGCAAGGCTATGATAAAAATTTACACCAACCTCAGATCAATACATGATCAGTAAACTACTGAGTGTAGCATAAACATCGATCCATAACTGGATTTCCACTTCCTCTAGTGCACATAGCTGGGAGCCTTCCCAAGAGCCACTGTGACCTGGTTTTGTTTTTCCCCCTCCCTAACAGAACCCAAATTCAGTTTAGGTATTTTCAGCCTTCAGGAAAAGGGGGTCCTACTTCCGCCCATGGGAAGGGTCTTAAGAGAGTGATTGCTCCACATTGGGCCCACACAATACAGCAAACTGACAGGAAGAAATTTTAATCCTTGTTCAGTATTAAAGCATGTTGGATCTCACACACACACACCTCTCTCCATCCTACTTGGTCCGAATGAAGGAGGATCTAATCTGAAGACAACAATCTTATGATGGTGGAAAGGATCAAGTTTAAGATGAAGTCAAAACTGAGGAAGCCAAAGCAAATTGATGAAAGAATTCCAAAGGTATTATGGGTAACACACACACACACACCCCACTTGTACGTGCTTGCTAGCTTGCCTTCCCTTACTTTTCTTCTTCTGCTTATGCACAGAAAACCATGTTTGCCTCTGACTTTTCAAAAACGGTCTAGTTCAAATACTTTGGAAACTTCTTATCAAAATATCATCCTCTGAAATACCAGAATTCAATTATAGTTATTTGAATATATATTTTTTATTTAATTAAATATTTGAATGTGTATATTTATTTGAATCCCCAAAATAACTAAAAGCCCCACATGAGCGGGTAGGATGACATATTCATCTTGCATTCTGCAGAGTGTTTAACACGAAGCATTCTACAAGACTTTCCTGAACTGAAAGATCTATAGCAGTATCTACATAAAACTGTTCTGAAAAAATTAAAAAAAAACCTTCTGAATATTAAATCAATGAAACAAAATAATGTTTGCCAATATGTTTGTTCCACTTTTAACGGTCTCATCCTAATACGAACTTCAAACTTTTTTTTTTCCCACCAATCTTTCAGAATCTTCGGTGGGAAGGAATGATAGATCTGAATTGCTCCTTTTCCTTTTAAATTTCCTCTAAGTCAGCCAAAAGCCCAAAGTTAAAATATTAACTTCTCACTACAATTTTATCTTAATCAGAAATTCCTCCTGAATTTTTCATGGTCGTTTCTCTTGAACCTCCACTGTAATAGATGCCTTTTGGGGTGATTGACCTTTACAAAACATTAAGGAACTTCCTTCTACCTCAATCCTTCAAGTCATGAGGTAAGGGCATCAAACCTTATATTGTGAGACCTATCTCCCTTGGTTTCAGCTGAGTAAGACCAGGTCACTCTGAATTCCTTCCTCAGGAATTTATACATGAGACTAGAGAATCCAACCAAGTACACTCTGGCTTTGTCTCCTGAACAGGTTTACTATGCAATACTCTCCATCAATTTAAATTTACTATAGATTTGCCCTGTGTGTTCGTGAAGCTTCATTGAAATAAAATCAGACACACCGGGGTTGTGATTTTCGATAGCATCAACCCTCCTTGTCAGTCCACCCCCCTGGGAAAAATAAGAGTCTCAAAGGAAACAAAGGAATTTGGTCACCAAATTCAAAAAATTGAAAAGGATTTTACTAATCTTCTTTCTATTAACTTTAGCATCGGCAAATTTCTATTTTCCTCCCACAAACCTAAGCACCTTATCTAGACAATGAATTTAAGCTACTGGCTTCTCTAAATTCATCTAAACCAGCAGTTACGTGCTTAGTTTTGACCTAACCAGCAGGGGTCAGAGTCAGAACAAAAACCACCTAATGAAGGATTCCATGGAAAGACATCAAACATTTAAAGTGAGCAAAAATCAATTGCTTGCCAAACTGCAGAAATAATGTGTAAATAGCCAACATCTCGATGAAGATATCAAAAAGTGTTCAGCTCCCTTGGAAATGGCTCCTAATAATTTTTTAAGTCTGAAAAAAGGACTAAAGAAAAAAATGACATTCGAATAAAAATAACACAATAAAGAAAACAAACGATAATACTGGAGTTAGCTGTAGTAGGTTATGGAAGCACATTAAAAAAAGCTTTAGATATTACAGGTGGTTTCCTTGATTTGGCTTAAGAACACATACAGGTCGTTTTGCTTCCTTAAGTAGAATTTTTTTTTCATGGCAAAATCATATTGTGAGAATGACTTACTTGTAACATCAGTCTTTATTCCTGCAACCCTCAACAGTGGCTCAACCTTCTCGTGATAGATCTGGGTAGCTTCTTTTTTGTGGCTTTGGGGGTTAAGAATTACTTTTAATGACTTTGGTCTATTTGAAAAACCTAAGAGGAAAACATAAAGACAAAGTTATACAATCTTCATCAGCATTTTTTTTCCTTTAAAACCATACACTAAGTCCGGTTAGAATGTCATACATCTATTTAAATAGTATTTGCTGTTTTTATTTGAAATTCTTTTACGGGTTTTCCCCAAACATGGCATTTTGAAGCATTTACATTTTCCTAGCAGTTGAGCAGGTCCATTCCTCTTAAATCATGAGTTCTAACGGAGCATTTCATTTATGCAGAAAAGTGTGGATGAAAGCAACTTTGTGAATGTTGTTAGGCAATGTTCGCGTCTGTTTACCAAATCACGCACAGAATGTCAAATGGTCCATTAGCATTTATTTCTGGAGGGAAAAAGCAATAAGCTGCACAGGACAGAAAGGTCTCCTTCCACTCCTAAGATGAACATGCTCCTTATTCGAATTGGGCACTCCGGTGACCTCAGGCTCCCCGGTGACCTTGGGCTCCCTGGTGACCTCGGGGCTCCCCGGGGCTGCCCTGCAGCTGAGCCGGGGGGAGCAGAGGACGCAGGGCTGGGTCAAGGCCAGCGCCCAGAGTGAGGCACGCAGGGAGCCAAAACGAGGGGTAGGTCGAAGTCCAAGCTTGGAAAGGAGGGGGGCCAGGGAGAAAGGACCCTTCCCCCGGGAACCGGGGCAGCGAGTCTCGGCCTCCCAGTTGGGGCCGAGATTTGATCCCGCGGCTTTCTGGGCTGCAAGGTGCTGCTCCCCTAGAACCGGGCGGAGCAGGTGCAAAGCATATTTTCTGTTGGGAAGGTGCGGGAGGCACAGGGGGCCCAAGAACGCCAAGGACCCTTCCTTGGAGGCCAGCTGCGGCCTCAGGGGCCGTGCTTCAGGGCTAAGAAAGCAGTGACCAGCATCTGCTTTTTTTTTTTTTAATTGGAATATTCATGTATTTGTTTGTAGATCGTTGAAGTGCGCTCTGCCCACAGAGCGTGACACCCAGTGCTCGCTGGCAAGGGCTTTTAGCAAAAGCGCTCCCACCACACCTGGCGCGATGCCCCATCAGTGGGGCCCCCCCTGCCTGCACCCCCCAGGCAGGCCCGCGCCCCCCAGCATGCCCTCGGCCACCAGCTCCGACCCGTGCTTGGGGCTTTGAGGGAGGGAGGCCCGTGGGACACACAGACAGCCCAGGGCTAAAGGGCCCTGTTAAGGGGCAGGCAGGGCCCCAGGTGCAGGGGAGCCCCGAGGAGCCCACCCCTCCAGGGACCAGGGCAAGGCCTTCCTGAGAAGAGGCCCTGGGCTCCAGCGCTTGCATGACTCAGGATTCCCTCCTTCCTCACACTGCACCCCCCGCCCCCCAGCGAGACCAGCTGAGGCCCAGAAGTGCAGACGACTTTCTGTTCCCTGTGGGCTTCCCCATGATGCTCTGGAACCCCTGGGTTACCTGCCAGGTGCCAGGCGTGCCTGGCTTTCCCTCGCTTAGTTTCTTCCTTCCACTCCACCTCTTACCACCATTTCTGAAAATCCTGCCACTTTTTTTTTTTTCTGTCCAGCAGGCCCCATGCCCAACATGGGGCTTGAACTCACAACCCTGAGATCCAGAGACAGCATGCTTCCTGCACGGAGCCCATCGGGCGCCCCAAGGTCTGCCCCACTTTTGAAGCTTATTTCAGGACCACTTTTTCCCTAACAACTTCCACCAACAGAACTCAGCCCTCTGGCCTCAGGCCCACTCTCCTCGGTGTGCCTCTATTAACTATTTTCTGTATCACTTACATAGAAAGAACTGATGAAAGACCCAATACCTTGGAACCTTTACTGCCAAACCTGGGACCATCTGAAATGGAGTAAAGACTATATTACACTAAGGGGAAGAAGGAAAACCTGTCTTACAGTAGAATGACATCTAATAAATATGGAGGAAATTACAGAGTTAGAAAAATCACTATTTTTACCCGTTATGCTAATAATGGGGTCAGGCAAGAATCAGCAATGGATGGTAACACCCTCAGTGACAGGGAACAAAATATTTACTTATTTTTATTTACTTATTTTTATTTACTTATTTTTAACTCTGTCCCCCTTAATTGTTCTCATTTCAAAGGGCAAAAAGGGACATTTCCAATGGAGAAATCTAGCAGACACTGCCTTAGTCAAGTGATCAGAGTTAACCACACCCTTAATGTTCAAAGGGACACACAGGCCTTGTGATACTTTGTAGTACGTGACACGTAGCACCGAGGACACAGTACTTCCATGGCACCGCGGCCCAAAGGGCATGAGGCTCAAAGGACAATCACACAAACCCTAGTTGAGGGGGCATTCTCAAAATAACTCCCTAAAGTTCTTTTAAAAAACTGTCAATACTGTGAAAGAAAGCTGAGGGCCTATTCTCCATCAAGGGAGGCTGAGGAGAGGACAATTAGTGCCATGTTTGAGTCTGGATCAGGAAAAAACTGCCATAAAGGACAGGATGACTGCCCTGTAACCAGGAAGGATGAAGCAGATCAATCTAGGGCCCACTGTCATGAAAACACAACAAGGACAAGACACTTATTCTACACTTTTGAGGCCCAGACTCCAATCAAATATCCAAATTATAAAAAAAAATTTTGAATTTTTTTAAGAATTAAAAACAAACAAAAAAAAATATCCCGATTATGTTTATCTTCCCCGGCGTATTTCTGGAAAGACCCTGCTTCATTTCTTGGGCAGAGGCGGTCCCAGCATGGCCAGTGTCCAGGAGCCAAATGGTAGTCCTCAAAGGTTATCATGAAAACCGGCTTTTACTTTCCCTTCCTCCTACCTCATGACGGTCAGGTAATGTAAGTTTTGGGAAATAAGGAACAGTCATTTGGGGCCTGTGGGGACAAGCACGCTGTAGCTGAAGGCTCATAGCCCATAAATAAACACGTGTGAAAGGGTACGCACTGTGTCCCATTCAGCCTTTGGGCCACAATCCCCTTAGGAAGAAGCTAAAACTACTCAAGATCTCCTAAAAGGATTTTAGCAAATTCATTTTATTCTTAGGCCTCCGTTATAACCGCAGCAACAGAAATTCAATAAATTCATCCGAATGTTCTATCCCTTACACATCCCACTAAACTGAGGCCTTTTAAAACATAAACCAACAAAGCCAATATATATATTTTTTAACCAGAGCACGTAGTCATTTTCTCATTTATCTTTTTCCTTTTGGGTGCTCTTAATACGATGATTATGAAGCTAGACTCTAAGTATATGAAAATTAGGTAGCAACTTGATAGCTATTTAGAGATCAGAAGGGGGATTTCTATCAACTAAAGCAAGATTTTTTTTTTTAAGGATGTTCATCATCAGGTGGAAAAAGGAGATATAATTAAAAAGTCTTGGGGATCACTAGGTGGCTCAGTGGTTCAGCACCTGCCTTTGGCCCAGGGCATGATCCTGGAGTCCCGGGATCGAATCCTACATTGGGCTCCCGGTATGGAGCCTGCTTCTCCCTCTGCCTGTGTCTCTCCTCTCTCTATCATGAATAAATAAAATCTTTAAAAAAATAAAAAAATAAAAATAAATTAAAAAATAGTCTCCAACCCGTCTTCCCTCAGGCTCCCTCCTCAAGCCTCTCTCTACCTTATTCAGCCCCTTGAACGTGCCACGCTCCCTCTATCACAGGGCCATTGCACCGGCTTAGCCCTGTCGGCCCACCTATTCTTGTTACCATTTGTCCAATTAACCTTTACTCTTTGCTTTGATCTCACCTTAGTCATCACTTCCTTGGCAAAGATTTTTATGGCCTCCTTGGTTTTGTGACTTTAGCGAGGCCTTTGCTCCCTTATCATTTGTTCTTACAGGTCCATACACTTTCCAATATTGATTCTTATACTATTATCATTTTATACCTATTTATTATTTATACTCATATATGAAACTTGAAACTCTGAGGGTTTCCTCCACATTCTATCTCCTTAGAGCAGGGCATATAATAGATGATCCTATATTTGATGAATGAGTAAAAAGGGTAGTGTTTGCCTTCAGCCATATAGATAGTAATGGCCTCCATTTATTCACAGGTGACTGCCTGCCTCTATTTGTCAGACAGGGTTCTAGAAGCTGAGGCTCTGTCAGTGAACAAGCAAACTTCTACCTTCATGAAGCTTCCATTTCAACGGCAAGGGCCAGAAATAATAAGGGAATTCAGAGTACCTCATGTGGTGGTAAGTTCTAAGGATAAAATGAAACCTCAGAGTGGGAGAGAGGGAGGACAAAGATAGAAGTGACTTCCTGGACAGGGAAGATCAGATCACTCACAGGGATTTACAAGTACTCTGCTTTTGTCCTGAGTGAGAGGAGAAACATGATGATTTCTGAGCAGTACAGCAACATAAGCCTGGATGCTAAATGGATCACTCAAGCTGCCATGCAGAAGGCAGATGCTGGAAGTACAAGGACAGATGAAGTAAGAACAGCTGCGATGTTCCAGGTGGGATTGAGTAAGGTGGAAAGTAGAAGAAAAGCTAGATTCCAGGTATATTTTGAAGGGAGAGCTCACAAGATTTGTTTACTCTTTAGATGTGTCATGTGAAAGAGAATAGTCAAAGAGATCAAATTGTGGCTGGATAAGGGGTAAGTGAAAACACAAGAAGGGTTAAGAACTAATGAAAAAGTGGTACATGTAATCGATTAATTGTGATCTGGAGGGGGTGAAAATTTTTAGGTTTTGAGAGAGTAGATCAAATAAGTTAGATAGACAGAAGCCAATAGTCAGGAGCCCCAGGAAGGGCAGGATGCTTGAAAGGGAAATTGTGTTATTGGTAATAAGGATAATAAAAAACCTGATGAGGTGGCTACCTGGGTGGCTCAGCAGTTGAGTGTCTGCCTTTGGCTTGGGTCGTGATCCCGGGGTGCTGGGATCGAGCGCCGCATCAGGCTCCCTGCAGGAAGCCTGCTTCTCCCTCTGTGTCTCTCATGAATAAATAATCTTTAAAAAAATAAAAATAAAACCTGATGAACTGCATATGCATCAGAATCATCTGAAGGGCTTCTTGAAACACAGGT